TTGCCATTGACTTCTGAGGACCCTTGCAGTGTTTCCATGTTGTGTGCAACTACATCTTTTGAAGACCTTAGAAGATGATGTTGATTGCTTTCTGACATTGAAATTTTTTCAGATTCACTAAGATGCATGTTGTCCCAGTAATGGGTGGCAAATTTACGTTACTTGCACGTGTTCACCATGGATGGGAATCAAAGTTTACCGAATCTCACAGACGACGTCAATGTTAGATTGGAGAATCAAAATTTCCAACCAAAGGTTGGTAATTGTATCTTGGATTGATACCCTCGCAGGTGTTTATATAAGAGATGCTGCAAGGGGTAATAGATCATTGTGCACGATAATACTGCAGGGAGTGTGTGCATAGTAACAACTAAGAGAATATAGAGTTCAAAGTGTATAGACTTAACCATTTATTTATAGAATGAGTTACTTGTGGGTGTAGAATCCCAATAGGAGTCAACTTGTCCGGGGAAAGATGAAAAGTCGTATCGCTTATCTTTTGGACACATGATATGAGATCAAATCTTTGATCTTTTTAGCTTGCCATTTATCCTTACTTTGTTTTTAGAAGCTATGAGCCCATAGGATGGGTTTGGAATACAAATCAAATTAGTTAAGTAATTAATATATCGTTGGAGAAATTTAAACAAGTAATTATCAAGTTAGAGGCTTTTTTATTTGAATTGATGTAATTATGTTTTGATATTATTATTTAATGGAATTTAATTTATTTTTTTTAAAGTATAAATTCGAAAAAAATAATGTCTGAACTGCGATTTTATAGCGTATTTTTACTAAAATTGTGAACATTAAGCACGATTAAATTAAATATAATTGGAGTTATTTTTTATCATTAGTTTTATTAAATTGTTGACTTAATACACGACTTAGGATAAATATATTTATTTTTACATTATTGTCGTAAAGAAGTGAATATGAATAATAACTTACTTTTTAAATCGTGGCACGTACTCATTAGTCATTACTAACAATGTGAACATATAATCTCAAGGGTATTCTTTTCTCATGGGGATATAAAAGTCCATAGTTTTATATTCAAATAATTTGGTTTTATCATCAAGTATGCGAATTATTTTTTTTTTGGAAATAGTATGCGAATTATTTGATATATGGTTGTTGGTCTCGAATTTAAATTTTAGATATGCAACTGTCATAAAATTTTGGTAAGGAATATATCGTTGCTCTTGTAATGCTATCCAGCTCTTTTGGATTATCGAAAAATCGATGAACGAATCAAGAAATAAAAAAAAAAAATCACTTTTCATGCGGTTTTGAATTTATGGTAGAATTTCCAAGGTCTTCACTTTTCTACCATTTCTTCAATATTCCAAAAAAATATACAAGGTCGCATTAAGAATTAAGAGTGTGCAAACTAACTAAAAAATTAAACCAAACCATGAACTGAAGTGTACCGAACCGTCTTTAAAATAATCGGTTTTTAAAAATCAATTCATGAACCGAACTGATTTTTAAAGAACTAGTTCATGAACCGAACTGATTTTTAGAACCAGTTTAAGAACTGAACCATTTTGAACGGAACTGAACCGTTTCTGAACCGAACTATTTTCAAACCGAACTAAATTGATTTTTATAACTTTATTTTTAAATTTTTAAATTTTTTTCTTTTCAAAATAGGGTCAACCGAATCAATTCCGAACAAAATCACTTCCGAAACGAACCAGTTTTGAACTGAACTGAACCATTTAAACCAATTCGATTCGGTTTTTCAAAAAATTCGGTTCAGTTCGACCCATACACATCCCTATTAAGAACTTGTAGTTCAACGCCACAATTAACATTGTTTTATTATGATACATAATTCATGACTTAAAGGTGCGATTAACATTATATATAATTTGTGGCTATATGCTACGACTTTATAATATGTCATTGTTTATGTTTATGACTTTATCAAAATAATATAAACAAATTTTAGCTCAACTCATATATAAAAATAATAGTTTAATAAAAATAACATTAAAAAATAAGTGTTATGTTTAAATTGCACTTAAACTAACAATTTATCATGAAGTCATTGTCTAGATTCATAACTTTACGTTACGTAATTTATATCATTTAAGAAAATAAATTTAAAACTGAACATAAATAATAGGGAAAAATATTTCTGCAGTTACTGCAAATAAGTCATCTGCATTTATTCTCAAAGCGACGTCGTTTTGTTATTGAAATCTTAAAAAATTATAAATATAAAAGCTATTATAACTCAGAATAAATTAAAATTATAAAAATACCTTGATTTCTCTCCCAAAACAACGTCATATTAGATTTACTACAGATAACTTATATGCAGAAAAAGTGAACCCTAAAAATAATATTAAAATATAATTACACCCATTAACTAAAAATATCCGAACTTATATATCCCCTAATTGATGTGGTGTTTGTCTGTTTGACATACGATATCCAATATCCTCTAGCAAGGCCTTCTTCGGATGTTCTTTTGAATTTGTTTTCCTCCTTTTGGGCTTCATCTTAGCGCCGTATATTGTTGCACCGCTTCACTTTGCTATCCCGGGCCATCAGCACCTTATTTTATATATTTTATCATCTTCCATTGGGGAACGATATTTTGTTTCTTTTATACGAAATAAAATTAGTTCATATATAAATATAAAAATATGTGGAGTTTATATAAGGGGGAAGGATATTGTAATAATAAAGTTGTAATACTACCATGTTACTTGCAATTAATCTCACCGTTAGATCGATTATGTTGATCCAACGGTTATATTTATTTTCATCTTTGTATGGTTATGATTTCTCATATTTAAAGTGAAGTATCAAAATTATAAATAGTGATAATTAAAAAGTAATGAATAACCAATCTGCTCTAACTGCTTTATACACAATGCAGACAATGATCCAAAAACACAAAACGATTCTCATAACATAACTTATAATAAAATTTAAGTTTTATAAGACATCATTATAAAAAATATATATCCAAACAAAAAGATATTAAGATATGTGAATATGATTTGGGGAAAACGAAAATTAGGTTTTTTGTAAATAATTTTTTTTTTTGTAAATCTTGTTTTATTAAATTTTTAGTTTTAAGTAAAAACGGTCAAAACGGTAAAAATGTAAGTTTTTATCGTTTTTACATTTTTACGCGGCGTTTCTACCAGTTTTTACCAATGACAGTTTTTACTTAAGTTTTAACATGCACCACTCTAGTAAAATACGTTTTTACACTAGTTTTTGACAACAATGGTAGTAACACAACTTAGTTGTTACAATATCATTCCCCTTATATGAGATCATATAAGAAGAAAATAGAAAAAAAAATGAATCTTACATACTTTTATATATATATATAAGGAAATATTACCCTCCTTTCACATAAGATAAATTCTCTCATGTTCTCGCATTTTGATTTTTGCACCTCATTTTTTTTCTTTTTTCTTGTAATGAGGGATCCACCCATTTTATCTCTACAACATAAAATAATTATCTTATGTAAAAAGAGATAATAAAGCCCTTATAACTCTCTTCTGATTTGCATACCAGTTTCTTTTTAAGTTTTGTGGAAGCTTTTTTTTTATATATACATATAAATCACAGATATCCTTTATGAAAAATAATCCTATTCAGAATGGATCTATTATTAAGACTTTAAATATCTTCTAAAAATAATATCTGAAAAGAATTTAACATATATTCTCACTCTCACATGTTCAATTTCCATGCGCCAAGTGAAGGTAGTATCATTCGAGCATTCCATTGATGAATTACTTTCAGACAGCTGCACTTGCCCCTATTGAACAAAGTTATGGCAAGGTTTTTTTTTTTTTTTTGAATTTTTGAAATTTTATTTTAAATACTTTTTTATAGGACGTTTTTAATTCTTAAATACTCACAAAAACATAAAGGATATACGCCACTGAGATCATAAATGAGTACTTACAAATTACAATAAAAATTGTGGCAGAGGAAGCGTTACCCGTCACTATTGGGATGCTATTCTTAGTAACATCGTAAGTTTCTAGCAGTATAGAAGATTCAAGGACCCCATGAAAAAACATCTGAAACTATAGGAACCCAGAAACTTAATAATTTTCTTCTATATTTTCTAAAACTTACAAATGAGCCTTAGTAATTGCAGTATGGTTAAAAATATGTAACGATAACTTAACAGTGAAAATCTAATTTAAGAATTTTAAAACTCAAAAAGGATCAATGATATACTTTAAAATACAAGAATTGAATTAAAATTTTATCGACGGTAAGAAAAAAAGAAGACTAATTTAACATTTTAGTTATTATAGAAAATTTAAGAATGCAATGTTTCGCTGACGTTGCTTTTTAAATTGGGTTATATATCTATAATGTAATAGGAAAGTCACTATTTAGTCCTGCCCACACAATAAGAATGTAGGGCTTACGGTTTTTTTTTTTTCTTCCCACTCATCAGACTTTCTCTCTCTTCAGTGTTGTGTCTACAAAAATGTTATTTTTTTTTCTGTAACATTACAAATTCATTTCCCTTTTAAATTTTACAGGCAAAAGAAAAAGCCAGTTATTAAGTAGGCAAGTACAACTTACTTATTTTTCTAACGTAAATATGTTTTCATTTTATTTATTTTTTGTGTGTAAAAAGTTGCACATCTCAACGGTAAGAAAAACATTAATCTTATCAAAACCGGAAAAAATGAAACAAGGAAAAAAAATTAAAAGAAAGATTATATTTATAAATTTTTATAAATTACATTAAGTATGACCGAGTTATAATTTAATTCAGAATATATGACCAATTATATTTAATGTAATTTGTAAAAAAAAAAATTACAAATGAAAAAGGAAAGCAATTATTAGCATGACGTGTCGATAAAATTTAATGCAGAAATTTTAACCTGATATTTTTTATCTCCTTAAATAATATATTTTATTAACTTAACATTATTAGCATGACGTGTCGATAAAATTTAATGCTTTTATATAAAAACTGTTTTTACAAATGGAAGACTAAAAAAAGAAAAAGGAAAGCAGAAATTGACTTGTGATTCAGAACAGTGAAGCTCTGAACCTAACATTTCCGAAGCTCGAAGGTGGATTGTGAATCGATTCAGAACCGAGGATTTGGTGGAAAAGATGACGAATGATAGGAAAATTGGGGTGGCGTTGGACTTCTCTAAGGGGAGCAAGATCGCTCTCAAATGGGCAATTGATAATCTTCTCCGCAACGGTGACACCCTCTTCGTCATTCACATCAAGCCTTCAAAAGGAAGTGAATCCAGAAATCTTCTCTGGTCCACAACTGGTTCACGTTAGTTCCCTATTCTCAAAATCCTTTTTTTTTTAATTTTTATTTTATCTATTATGTTGTGGAATATGGATCTTTGAGTTCTGATTATGGTGATGTCATGATGTGGGTGAAGCTTTGATCCCGTTGTCTGAGTTTCGTGAGAAGGAGGTGATGCACAATTATGAGGTGGACACCGATGCTGAGGTGTTGGACCTACTTGACACCGCTTCTAGGCAGAAACAGGTTTTAACCTTAAACAACCTTGTCGTGTGTTGTAATTTGTTCTAGTTAATGTTATTTTACTTGCATGTTTAGCTTGAACTGAACTTGCCTTGAATATATAGGTGATGGTGGTGGCAAAGCTATACTGGGGGGATGCAAGGGAGAAAGTTTGTGAAGCTGTTGGGGATTTGAAGCTTGATTCTTTGGTTATGGGTAGCAGAGGCTTAGGTGCCATTCAGAGGTACTTCTTTGCTGTTTTGTTTTTTGGATCCCCTTTCATTGGAAAACTTTAAAGCTTGATCCTTTAGCTCTTTTAGCTGAAGTAGTATTAAATGTATGCATCAAAATAAGATCACATGATAAGCCTTCATGTATGTGGACTAGAGGATTGGGTCCTTAGTATGGTCATTACCTACTCTTACTACAGGATAAAACATCTGCATTAGCATGCACACACCACCACTGATACACACTCACTCACCTGCAGAACCGTTAGATTTTCTCTCATACATTCTAGAACTTCTCATAACTACCTATATACATGCAATATTGCTTTAAGAGAAGGGACCCTTGAACCTTTTGCATACACGCTTGAGCACACTGCAGGTGAATACACAACTTTTTCTCCACTGTAATACACACACAGAATCCATCACATCTACAGGGAGGTTGGTTCTGCCATATCCAGCCCTTCCTCCCTGGACAGTAACATCAAACCCTCAGTCCACCTAACTGGGATGTACACTTACTTATCAATTGTTTATTTTAGACTATATTCATCTTGAGCTTTGGCTCAAGTAGTAGCCCGAGCCTCATCGGTAGATGAGGGACTTGGTTAGATTTCTGTCTTCCTAAGAATAAAATAACATACTTTCAAGTAAACAAGTTGAATTGATCGACAATGTTAATTTCTTGATGCTTTGTGTTTTACTTGGTTGATTGTAGGGTATTGCTGGGGAGTGTGACCAATTACGTTACCACAAATGCGACTTGTCCTGTAACAATTGTGAAAGACTCTGCCCCTTCTACCCACTGATATGCTACTGAATTTGGTCGGTCTTTGCAAATGGTTGTTCCGTCTTCACCAGAGACCAGACTCTGTTTCCCTCCGTTCTTACTTCTTACATATGCCTAGTTATGAACCTACTTGATCATTAAGGATTGGATATGCACAATGTATTATGTTAAGAGTCTCTTTTAAGTGCTTAGGCTGTAGCCAAAAGTGTGCTTATAAATAAGCTATGTGATGGGTCTGTTTCAAATTTACTATGGCACAGTATCCAGTGGCTTGAAATGTTTGTGTCACATAATTGTTAACCTGTTGCTTTCGGGAGATTGTGTGTCTTGTTTATGTTCATCTTTAATTGGGTGGCTTTCTTTAACTGCATCTTTATCCGTAAGCTTGTCAATCAAATTAAACAATAATGCTCATTTCTCTCCCCTCACTGCTACTGCTACTCTACAGGGTCAAAATATTTTCGAGCTTCAAATTTATTGACCTTACACAAATATTTGATCATTTCGACTCGTTTTCGCACTTTATACAAAATTTAGAATAATCTCTACAATGCCAAAAAACCAGACTTTTATTTTATGGGTTTTCATTTTCTCATGTACTATGAGATATATATCATGCTAGAAACACATCTTATGTGAGGCCGTAAAGAACCAATTCAACCCAAAATCTTAAGGTGTTGGGTGATGACTTTTTAGAGGTTTATATTATTCTCTAACACACACTCTCACGCAAAAATACTTTGGACTTGAAGTGTGGATATTGCACAGGCTCAAAATTTTTTTTTACCTAGTTTATTTAATTCCACTTGAAAGTGGAAGACAATGAGGATCGAATTTGTGACCTTGTGGTCAAGGAAGCTTTGATACCATGTAAAGAACTAATTCAACCCAAAACCTAGGTGTTGGGTGATGGCCTTTTTAATTATTTATATTATGAGATATTCTCTAACAGAAGTCGAGATTTATTAAAAAAAGAAAAAGAAAAAGAAAAAGAAATATTATTCAAAAATCGAAAGGTCACTAATGGGAGAAAACAACTCTCATACTAGGGGTGTTCATTAATTGATCCAAACTGATTCAAATCGCGGATCGATAACCAAATTAACTGAAAATTGAAAAACCAAAAATCTGAAAAAAAATTTGGCATATTTTAATTGGATTGGATCGGTTTTCAGTTTGGTTGGTGAAAACCGCTCCAATGTATTATGTATTTATTATTTTCAAAAGATGGTGACTTGAAATCTTTATATTTTGTATACTTGGAATCTTGGATGTTATTAATAGAAAATTATCTTGTTTTAATTTTTTATTGTCTATTAATCTATTTTAACACTTCATAAGTTTTAAGACTAATTTTGGTTTGAAGACTTGAATTTTCCAGTGGTTTGTAACTTTGAATGACTTTATTTTGATATAGCCTGTGATTTGTATGACTAAAATTTTAGGCTTTTCAAAAAATAAAAAATGAATCTAATCCAAATCAAATAAAATTGGATTGGATTGGATTAGATTAGATTTTTAAAAAAATACAAACTGAATGGATGATTAAATGATCAAGCTGAAGAGATTGGATCAGATGATTTTTGCTTCAAAATCAATTCAATCCAGATCACAAACACCCCTATATCCTACGACATGAAAAATATTTTCCCTTATTTTATTAGCCACTTGCACCCCTTCATCATGGTTTGTAGGGGTGTTCATAAACCGATCCAAACCAATTCAAACCGCGATGACCGAACTGAAAAATTCAAAACCGAAATAACTGAAAACAAAAAATCAAAAACCGAAAAAAAACCCGCAAATTTTCATTGGATCGGATAGATTTTCGGTTTGGTAGGTGAAAACCGATCCAATCCAAACCGATCTAAAATATTTATTCTTCTATACCTACTCGGGCCTTTTCCAATTACAACCGAAAAATTTCTAAACCCAAAACACATTATTCCATTAACCCATCAACTAAACCTAGCACATAGCCCACACCCCATCATCAAAATTTTGATAGAGAGCAAAATCTAAGGGTTCCAACTTCCAATTTAGGTGTAGGGCTTCATATCTCATTATACGAAAGAACAAACCTAGCCACTCCATCAGCGATTCAATGGAATCAAGGGGTTCCAACTTCCAATTTTTTGAAGACTTGAAGGTGAAGAACCCTCCTTGCTATCTCACTTTATTTGTTGCTCTTATTTTTTCACGAAACCTTACACTCTATGTTCTCTCGAATTCGATAGGATCTTTGATAGCTTCAGATTCACGAAGGGTCGAGTGGGTGCTCAAGCTGTTGTTTCTCTGTTATGGCGTTCCTCGAGTCATACCTATCTTTCTGAATTTGCATTTATTTCATTCCTCTGTTTGATTATTTAATGATTCATGTGATATCTGTTTTCTTTTTGTCTCAAATACACTCTAGAATGTTTATTATGTACATGTGCAATTCCTTTTTGTTCCTTTTGATAAATGTACGTGGGTTTTAGAATTTAGAAGAGGTGTGCTTTGTTCTCTTTTTTATGTGGTTCTATAAGGTCACTCTTTAATTCCTTAACTTGCACAAAGAACCAATGACTCAGAAGTCAGAAGCTAAAGGAATGAGTTTGTTTTATTTTCAGTCTTCATATTTTCTGATGTAAATTCTGTACATGCAAGCACAAACAAAGTTTCTTGTTGCCATTGACAAAAAGGTAAGTGAAAGCATTGGTCTTGATATGCATATTTATTTAGTACTTTCTTTGTTCAACCACCTTAAATCTGATACACAAGCCATTTTAGAACAGGTGCAACCAGAAGTAGATAGTGAGGCTGATAATATGGGGCTAGAGGATCAACAAGTGGAATATCAGTTTATCCCAAGAACTAGGTGGTCCAAAAAGAATAAGGCCCAATCCAAGTGGATGAATGATTATGTATGAGTATCGGCTGCATGTTGTGAGTGGAGGAGAAATAGTGGATGAATGATTATGTGTGAGTATCAGCTGCATGTTGTGAGTGGAGGGCAAATAGAGTCACATGGTTGGTTGTTTTGGGTAGATTCGTTTGTTAGATTTTGCTGATGCTGTATGCATTCTGTTGCATTTTATCTTTCTGTTAGTTTTTCTTTTTTTGTTACAATTGGCTGATGCTTGTATAAAACGTGAAGATACTGTGAATGAAAGTATCAGAAAATTATTGTGAAACCTTTTGGGTATAGGAGGTGTCTCTCCCTCGAAGAAAAGAAGTGTTGATCTATCAATTGGTGTTTTCATTGAGACTCATCCACCATGGTTGGCCGTCCACCACCCACCAATACCATGGAAGCTACCTTGGCTCAGAGTGTCAATTGGTCTTGCAACAGGACATGCAAGCCATGGCACAGAAAGTATCGTCGCTGGAAGCTCGGACGGTAAATCCTTTAGCTACCGTCAGTGGTTCCACCCTGGGTCATCCACCGTCTTCCGTTTCCATTGAAATCAAATATGCAACCATTAAATTGGACGTGTCGCGCTTTGATGGTTCAGATCCATTGGGCTGGGTCTTCAAAATCACCTAATTCTTCGATTTCCACGGCACACTGGAGGAGCAACCGCGAATTGCATCCTTCTGTATGGAAGGTGAAGCCCTAAGCTGGTACCAGTGGATGTTTTCCAACGGCCAAATCACATCTTGGTCTTCGTTGTTGCAATCATTAAATCTCGGTTTCGCTCCTTCCCAGTACGACGATCCAAAAGGGGATCTGATGAAACTGTTACAAACAACTTCAGTTCGTGAATATCAAGCAAGCTTCGAAGCTTTGGCTAATCGGTGTTTTGGCCTACCCCCTCCCTACTTATTGAGCTGTTTCATCTCCGGGCTTAAGTAGAATATTCGCCGCGAGGTTCAAGCCTTCCAACCCATGTCCTTAGCATAGGCCGTGGGGTTAGCTTGTGTCCAAGAGGATAAGCTGGCTAATCAGAAGACGTCGTGTCGCTCCAAATAAGCTTCTGGTTTATCTCCTTCAGCGTTTGGAGCCTCCCGTAGTCCCGTCATCACTACCACTGTGGGGGGTGGTACCACTGCTACATCCGCTTCGCAACACAAACCGGTAATTAAACGGATATCCCGGGCGGATCTTTAAGAAAGGCGTGATAAGGGGCTTTGCTATCACTGTGATGACAAGTTTTACCCCGGACACAAATGTAAACGTTAGTTCATGCTTTTGATTTCTTCTCCAAAAATGGAGGAATTTCAAGACACGCAGCAGCTGCTGTTGGAGGACCAAATGAGTACGCCGCTTCAATCTTTCGCTCCTCCTACTGGGCTGAAATTGGACGCAGCCCAAATCAGCTATCACGCTTTCTTGGGCCATTCAGTCTTTCAAACCATGCGCATTCAAGGACGGATTGATAAATCTCAACTCTCCATTCTTGTTGACAGTGGGAGTACCCACAATTTTATTCAGACCCAGATCGCGAAGTTTTTGGCCCTTCAAGTGGGGCAGGCTCAAGATTTCCAAGTCATCATTGGCAATGGAGAGGAGTTGGGCTGTAACTCCATTTGTAAGCAGGTGCCCTTGTTTCTTGGGACTAACCGTTTCTTACTAGACTTGTTTTTGTGACCCATTTGCTGATTTGGTATTGGGCGTCATGTGGCTTAAAACCCTGGCCCAGTCCTCACAGACTTTGATAGTTTAAACATGAAATTCATTCGGGATGGTAAGGTGATCACATTGGTAGGTACACAGACCCCCTTGGCCCAAGGTGCTTCCGTGGCCCAATTAAGCATGATGTTGTCCAATCACTCAGTGGCTGAAATGTTTCAGCTCCAGGTCATTCCATCTCCTTCACCCTCACCGTCACCGACAACGTCCCCTATTCCTGTACCCATTGCAGATCTCATTGCGCAATTTGCATATATCTTCGCGACACCATCTCAGCTACCACCCACTCGACCAACCGATCACCACATCCCCTTGCTGGACGGAGCGGGACCCGTCAACGTCAAACTGTACGGTATTCCTATTTACAGAAGAGAGAGATTGAAAGGTTCACCACAGAAATGTTGTCATCAGGGGTTATTCAGAATAGTACCAGCCTGTTCTCATCCCCAGTCTTGCTAGTGCGCAAAAAAGATGGTTCATGGCATTTTTGCACTGATCATCGTGCCCTCAACGCCATCACTCAGAAGGATAGATTTCCCATTTCGACGATCGACGAACTCACAGACGAGCTTCACGGTGCTCGTTGATTTTCCAAGCTAAACCTCCGTTCTGGGTACCACCAAATCCGCATAACTCCTGGAGATGTTTCCAAAACGGCCTTTCGCACACATGAAGGTCACTTTGAATATCTGGTCATGCTGTTTGGGCTCTGTAATGCCCCCACCACTTTCCAAGCAACGATGAACTCTCTCTTTCAACC